TCGCAATTAGATTGGAGGGTAACGCCTCGAAGTGGAGAGGAGGGGGCTGAGTGATCAGGAGCCGTAGCAGCAGGAGGAGTAGGAGGAGGAAGAAGAGGAGGGTGAGGAGCATGACGAAGGTGAGGAGCAACACCTTACTCACAAAACTAGGTGTGGAGCGGCGTCCACAGCTAGTTTTGCGAGTAATGTTTCGTAGCAGGAGGCTGCTCACAAAACTGGTTGTGGAGCTGCGTTCACAACTAGATTTGCGAGTGACGCCACGAAGCGGAGAGGTGGGGGTAGAGTGAAGAAACGAAGGAGGAGGAAGGGGGGAGGAGCAGGAGGAGTAGAGGAGGAAGAAGAGGAGGGTGAGGAGCATGACGAAGGTGAGGAGCAACACCTTACTCACAAAACTAGGTGTGGAGCGGCGTTCACATTAGTTTTGCGAGTAATGTCTCTTATCAAGAGGCTGCTCGCAAAACTGGTTGCGGAGCTGCGTTCGCAACTAGATTTGTGAGTGACGCCATGAAGCGGAGAGGTGGGGTTGAGTGAAGAAAAGAAGGAGGAGGAAGGATGGGGAGGAGCAGGAGGAGTAGGAGGAGGAAGAAGAGGAGGGTGAGGAGCATGACGAGGGTGAGGAGGAAGACATCACTCACAAAACTAGGTGTGGAGCGGCGTTCACAGCTAGTTTTGCGAGTAATGTTTCGTAGCAGGAGGCTGCTCGCAGAACTGATTGGGGAGCTGCGTTCACAACTAGATTTGTGAGTGACGCCACGAAGCGGAGAGGTGGGGGTAAAGTGAAGAAAAGAAGGAGGAGGGGGGAGGAGCAGCAGGAGTAGGAGGAGGAAGAAGAGGAGGGTGAAGAGCATGACGAAGGTGAGGAGCAACACCTTACTCACAAAACTAGGTGTGGAGCGGCGTTCACAGCTAGTTTTGCGAGTAATGTTTCGTAGCAGGAGGCTGCTCGCAGAACTGATTGGGGAGCTGCGTTCACAACTAGATTTGCGAGTGACGCCACGAAGCGGGGAGGTGGGGGTAAAGTGAAGAAAAGAAGGAGGAGGGGGGAGGAGCAGGAGGAGTAGGAGGAGGAAGAAGAGGAGGGTGAGGAGCATGACGAAGGTGAGGAGCAACACCTTACTCACAAAACTAGGTGTGGAGCGGCGTTCACAGCTAGTTTTGCGAGTAATGTTTCGTAGCAGGAGGCTGCTCACAAAACTGGTTGTGGAGCTGCGTTCATAACTAGATTTGCGAGTGACGCCACGAAGCGGAGAGGTGGGGGTAGAGTGAAGAAACGAAGGAGGAGGAAGGGGGAGGAGCAGGAGGAGTAGGAGGAGGAAGAAGAGGAGGGTGAGGAGCATGACGAAGGTGAGGAGCAACACCTTACTCACAAAACTAGGTGTGGAGCGGCGTTCACATTTAGATTTGCGAGTAATGTCTCTTATCAGGAGGCTGCTCGCAAAACTGGTTGCGGAGCTGCGTTCGCAACTAGATTTGTGAGTGACGCCATGAAGCGGAGAGGTGGGGTTGAGTGAAGAAAAGAAGGAGGAGGAAGGATGGGGAGGAGCAGGAGGAGTAGGAGGAGGAAGAAGAGGAGGGTGAGGAGCATGACGAGGGTGAGGAGGAAGACATCACTCACAAAACTAGGTGTGGAGCGGCGTTCACAGCTAGTTTTGCGAGTAATGTTTCGTAGCAGGAGGCTGCTCGCAGAACTGATTGGGGAGCTGCGTTCACAACTGACGGGGGGCAGCCGACGGCCAACGCTGCCCTGTTGAAGCTACACGATTTGATTATCATCATGCTGCTCTTGAAAAAAATACCGTTTACCATATTTTCTAAATTTCCAAGATCTTCCCAGAGATGGCCCTGGTGAAAAACGCTGTATTTTCCTGATATTCCTGACCTTCCCAGGGATTACCCCTGAGAAAACGCTGCGTTGTCCTGATATTCCTGATATTCCTGACATTTCCAGAGACTACCCAAGCGCCGAGGCCTCCTGGGGCTGCCGAAACATTGCCCTGGTGAAAAACGCTGTGTTTCCCTGATATTCCTGACCTTCCCAGGGATTACCCCTGAGAAAACGCTGTGCTTTCCTGATATTCCTGATATTCCTGACATTTCCAGAGACTACCCTGCAGGCTCACGGTAGTCTCTGGAAATGTCAGGAATATCAGGAATATCAGGAAAACACAGCGTTTTCTCAGGGGTAATCAAGGGGAAGGTCAGGAATATCAGGAAAACACAGCGTTTTTCACCACGGCAATGTTTCGGCAGCCCCAGGAGGCCTCGGCGCCTGGGTAATCTCTGGAAATGTCAGGAATATCAGGAATATCAAGAAAACACAGCGTTTTCTCAGGGGTAATCCCTGGGAAGGTCAGGAATATCAGGAAAACACAGCGTTTTTCACCAGGGCAGTGTTTCGGCAGCCCCAGGAGGCTTCGGGAAGCCCCAGGAAGCGTTTCGGAAGACTCGGGAAGGCCAGGAGGGACCAGGAAGCCCCAGGAAGCCCCAGGCCCTCCCCCCCCAGGGCGCGCGAGGAAGAAGAGTAGCAAAAAAAGAAATATGTATGATCATGTGGGGGGGGCTACCATATATATATATATATATATATATATATATGCTACCCTGCAAGAGGTAGCGAACAGGCCTTCAGTTCGCACTGCCTGCCTGAGGCAGGCGGGGCTCAAATCTGGATGTCGGCACTGGGTGCGAGGTCACCTCTTGAGTAGGGACCGCCCGTCCTGGCATTCCTGCCGCCCTAAGGGGTCGGCGTTGTGGCGTAAGCCAATGAATCAAGCCACTCCCGGCCAGAAATACTACAAAAGAAAATCTCGTGGGAACCGCAAAAGGTTCTTAGAACATTGTTTGGCAGGACTATAGGCACACCAGGACGCTTTGCCACTGCTTGACAATCAGCTCGGCGGATGCTTCCGGCCGGCTGCGCGGGCATCAACTGCTTACACTGCCTATATGACAGATTTTGACCACTGGGCTTCCGTTGAACGATGCAGGACCACGGCGGAGTCCCACGACAGGGAGACGGGGAGCCCCCGACCGCCCAGTCTGCCAGCCCGTCCGACCGCCGTTTCGCCCGAGACCTCCTCACAGTTTGTCTTTAGGACGCGTGCTCTCGCCTCCATGCTAGCTGCATTTTTCGCCCGGACGGCCACGATCCCACAAAGGCACATGGCCGTGCTCTTACCCCTGTTCTCGACCCGCCTCTTCACCTTTGCGGCTATCGGGGTGCTCAGGATGCTTTGCTGGGGCTTGGCTGGGGTAATGCTCCCAAAACTCCGACGTCGTGTCTTTTCACAACGCGGATACCTGGAGATCCGGACCCCTTCTCTGGGACAAATTATCATTCCGAACTCTATTTCGACGGTCCCAGGGACCCGTCAGGGCACCCGCGTGCCAAACACTGCCCAAAAGCGTTCGTCGTGATTTTTGGTTCACGTCGAGAGTTATGTTGCTCCCATCGTACTGAAGGACCACACCCCAGAAATGATTTCGAGCATCCAGACAAGTGTCGGAACAGTGTCGAACGAGTGTCGCCTCCCAGGGCCCGACACGTGAACACCTTCAAGTTTCGGTACTTTCTTGGTGCTCGAAATTCTTTCTGGTGATCAAGGCCAACGTAGGCGGGAACACCATAAGCCGAGAGGTGGGGATTGTGCTAGCGAGTGCGATTTCGCATCGTCAGGTTCCGGCGGCAGCAGCGCCGTCCTCGCAAGCGTGCGTGGTGCCCGTCTGCCGCGCGCGACCGCCATGGCCTGGCAGACCTCGGAAGCAGGATCGGGGTGGTGTGGAGGGTCCCCGACCTAATGGAAGCCTGCGTTGCTTCTCGTAGGCCCGGCCAGCCGACAACGTGTCGCCAACAGGTGCAACAACAGTACCAAACAATACACTATACAGAAACCAAGAACGTGCTACGAACATGGATATAACACATGAGAGGCATGGGGGGGTGATACAAATGGCCCGGAAGGGGATAGCATGCAAATATGAAGGACATGCAATCGATAGCACATGGCATATAACGAACGCCTCGAATGTGGAGCATACAAAGACAGAGCAGCAATACATGTCACATGCAAGACACACGAACAACATCTACAAAGGTATACATAGGTCACGGAACGCGGATGCAGATCGAATAACGCTGCCAGTGGTGCATCCACACCTACTTGCTGATACAGCACGGATGATATGGCACACATCGGCATCATAGACAACAACGCCTACACTCATGACGGTACAGGCACAACCTCAGAAGACCATGCAGATGATAACTTTCTCGCATTGTCCTGTAGGGGGGACACGAGAATGACACCCCCCAACGAAGACCAACTAGCACTGTCGCTGATACGACAGGACGTGCACGTACACAAGGTAACTGCTGGACTATATGCGAGCCGAACGAAGTGAACCCCAGCCTCCCCCTCAGAAATCGTGGGGAGTAGGGGTAGGGTTCGCATGTGGCCCCCTGCCAAGTGCACTCGCACGGAGCAGCCTACAGTCGGACTTGATTGGGCAGGACACGCGAGAGGGCACAAGACCCATACGATGGCCACGCTGCCACAGGAATCTGGGAGGCACGGGTCGCGAGGCACAGGACACGAGGGCACCCTTGATTTGGCAAGGTCGGCCTACTAATCGGTGCCGACTGTATCAGCATGTACGGGTTGAGCGCTACCGTCGTGAGGTCGGGACGAGAGCCCTGATGGGGGGGCACGCGATCAGGCCGTGCGGCCAAGTCCGGCCACCGCACGCATCCCAGAGGCGACGATCGGGGAGAGTGGCCCAAAGAAGCGCAGCGCAATGCACGCATCCTGGAGCGCCGATGGTCCTTTCTTCGGCGAAGCTTCCCTGGCGAATGCGTGCACTACCCGCCCCTGGGCTGTTCGCCCCATGTCGCCGCCTCCGGGCATTCGCCGCACATCCACGTGCCGCACCCGGCGCGAATGCACACCGCTCCCCCCCCCATCCCACCCCCTTCAGTGCAGCAGGCAGGGCGCCCGAAGTGCCTTGCGGATCATCTCGAGTCTCTGGAGGGGGGTCGGGACCTCGGCGGGGCGGGGATCGGGAGGCTCCTCCCCCCTCTCCTCCTCCCCCTCCCCCTCCTCGTGTACCTCCTTTCCTCCTCCCCCTTCCACTCCTCTGCTTCCTCCTCCCCGCCCCCGCCTCCTCCTTCTCCTCCTCTCCCTCCCTTCCTCGTGATCCTCCCCCTCCCCGTGATCCCCCCCTCCTCTCTCATCGTCCCCCTCGTTCTTCGGCAAGCTGGCTCGTTCTCCCCAACTCCTGTTCTTCCCCCGAGCGCGCTCCCGAGCACGAGGGAGAGCGCGCGCGCGACGGAAGGAGGCGACAGGACGGGGGGGGGGGGGCACGAGGAGAAGGAGGGGGAGGGGTGGGAGGAGGGGAGGAGGAGGAGGAGAAGGAGGAGGAGGAGGAGGAGGAGGAGTGGGAGGAGGGGGAGGAGGAGGAGGAGGAGGAGGAGGAGGAGGAGGAGGAAGAGGACGAGGAGGAGGACTATGAAGAGGACTATGAGGAGGAGGAGGAGGAGGCGGAGGAGGAGGAATATGAGGAGGAGGAGGAGGAGGAGGAAGAGGAGGAGGAGGAGGAGGAGGTGACAGGAGTGGGATCGGAAGCAGGGGTAGGGCAGGAGAGGAGGCTATGAGGGGCAGGGGAGTTCTGACCCCCTCGTGCTCCTCCTACTGCGGTTTCCCCTCCTCCTGCTGCTTGCCCTCCTCCTGCTCCGCCGCCTCCTCCCTCTGCTCGTCCTCCTCGTCCTCCTCGTCGACCTTGGCCTCGCCCTCGTGCTGATGGCATCGTCGCCCTCCTCCTCCTCCTCCTCCTCCTCCTCCTCCTCCTCCTCCTCCTCCGCCTCATCATCTCCTCATCATCATCATCATCATCATCATCATCATCATCATCATCATCACATCATCATCATCATCTCAATCATCATCATCATCATCATCATCATCAGCATCATCATCATCATCATCATCATCATCATCATCATCATCATCATCATCATCACCATCATCATCACCATCATCATCATCATCATCATCATCCCTCTCCTCTTCGATTTTCCCCTCCCCATCCGCCTCCTCCCCATTCCGCATTCGCGTGATCATGTTCGTCCACCCTCTTCTCTCAATCCGTCTCTCTCGCTTGCAGGCGCATCTCCTCACCACACCTCCCGGTCGTGCTGCAGCGCCTCCCCCCGCGCTTGCAACGCAACCTCATCATCAGTGGGGAGGCTTGGACGTGTCGCCTCAGACCTCACCACCGAACGCTGCACGTCGTTCATTTCGAATCGTGCTCATTTCACATTGTGCTCGTCTCTACTTGTTCCTGGCCCCCTAGTGGCCAGGAAGAGGCCCAGGATAGAAGAATTAGAAATGAAAGGATCTTGCCCTCCCGAAAAATCGAATACCTCCCGAAGAAGTCGAATACCTTCCGAAGAACTGGAATTAGACGCGAGCAAGTGCGTTCGTCTCGAAGTGTTCCTAGCTCCGTAGTGACCAGGAAGAGGCCCAGGACAGAAGAACTAACAATGACAGGATCTTGCCCCCCCAAACAAAACAAATAACGAAGAACTTTCGAATAATTAGACACGAGCAGTGTGTTCGTCTCTAAGTGTTCCTAGTCCCGCAGTGGCCAGGAAGAGGCCCAGGACAGAAGAGCTAAAAATGGCAGGATCTTGCCCCCCCCCCCGAAAAAAAATTATGCTAACGGAGTTCCCCACATAAAGATATTAACGGTCTCGTGGGACCCATGGGGTACGACAACATCAACACGAAGGAGAAGCTGGAGAGGTGGGGCCTCCCTGGGGAGGTGGGAAGGGCACGAAACCATGTAAATAGTATTGGTTTCCGATACCCTCCTCGCTCAGGCGGGTCCTCCCTGGATGGGGTGGGAAGGGCACGAAACCTGATAAATAACAGGTGATGCGAATACCCTCCTCGCTCAGGCGGGACCTCCCTGGAGGGGTGGGAGGGGCACGAAACCTGATAAATAACAGGTGATGCGAATACCCTCCTCGCTCAGGCGGGGCCTCCCTGGAGGGGTGGGAGGGGCACGAAACCTGAGAAATAACAGGTGATGCGAATACCCTCCTCGCTCAGGCGGGCCTCCCTGGAGGGGTGGGAGGGGCACGAAACCTGAGAAATAACAGGTGATGCGAATACCCTCCTCGCTCAGGCGGGGCCTCCCTGGAGGGGTGGGAGGGGCACGAAACCTGATAAATAACAGTTGATGCGAATACCCTCCTCGCTCAGGCGGGGCCTCCCTGGAGGGGTGGGAGGGGCACGAAACCTGATAAATAACAGGTATTTCGAATACCCTCCTCGCTCAGGCGGGGCCTCCCTGGAGGGGTGGGAGGGGCACGAAACCTGAGAAATAACAGGTGATGCGAATACCCTCCTCGCTCAGGCGGGGCCTCCCTGGAGGGGTGGGAGGGGCACGAAACCTGATAAATAACCTGGTATGGTATTGGTATGGTATGGTATTGGTATGGTATTGCTTGGTATGGCTTGGGATGTTATTGGTATGGTATGGTATGGTATGGTATGGTATTGGTATGGTATGGTATGGTATTGATATGGTATGGCTTGGTATGGCTTGATACCCTCCTCGCTCAGGCGGGGCCTCCCTGGAGGGGTGGGAGGGGCACGAAACCTGAGAAATAACAGGTGATTGCGAATACCCTCCTCGCTCAGGCGGGGCCTCCCTGGAGGGGTGGAGGGGCACGAAACCTGAGAAATAACAGGTGATGCGAATACCCTCCTCGCTCAGGCGGGGCCTCCCTGGAGGGGTGGGAGGGGCACGAAACCTGATAAATAACAGGTGATGCGAATACCCTCCTCGCTCAGGCGGGGCCTCCCTGGAGGGGTGGGAGGGGCACGAAACCTGATAAATAACAATGTGCATGTATGGTATTGGCTTGGTATGGTATGGGGTATTGGTATGGTATTGGCTTGGTATGGTATGGCTTGGTATGATTTGGTATGGTATTGGTATGGTATTGGTTGCTGTTCTGTTCTGTTCGTGGTTTGGTATGGTATTGATATGGTATGGCTTGGTATGGCTTGGTATGGTATTGGTATGGTAAGGTATTGGTATTGGTTGGTATGGCTTGGTATGGTATTGGTATGGTAAGGTATTGGTATGGTATGGCTTGGTATGGTATGGTTTAGGAGAAGGACGCGGGAGGAGGAGGAGAAGGAGAGGGTGTTCTGGGAAAACAAGAACCCCACTCAGGATGTGGGGAACAAAGAACTTCCGAATACTTAGAAACGAGCAGCGTGTACACCGACAAGTGAGGATGTGCGGCTGCTGCACGGGCGGCAGGCATGCCGTGGTCGCCGCGCGGCCGTCGCGCAGGGCCCCCGTGAGCGCCGTGCTGTGGGAGTTCCGCCATGCCGCACAGGCGGGCCACACACCGTGGAGACGAACAAGGAGGAGCTCGAGGAGGAGGAGGAGGAGGAGGAGGAGGAGGAGGAGGAGGAGGGGGAGCTCGAGGAGGAGCTCGAGGAGGAGGACGAACAAGGAGGAGCTCAAGGAGGAGGAGGAGAAGCTCGAGGAGGAGGAGGAGGAGGAGGAGGAGCCGAAGCAGGAGCAGGCGCAGGAGGAGGAGGAGGAGGAGGAGGAGGAGGTTTTCCGACTCAAAAATTCTCTGGCCCTCAGGCCTGAAGAAAGGTCGAACCGCTCCCCGACTGATGCATGACAGCTGCATGGGCGGAGGGCGGCTCTTCTCAACACGCACGATCTCGCCTGCGACGTCCTAGCATCACACTGCCCCGCATACCACTATTTCTAACGTGGGTCGGCGGCGAAACTGTTACGGAAACTGCGCTCCCGCACGGACTCCACAAGCATGCTCCCCAACTTCCTACCATCTACGTTGATCGATGGCGACCTCTTGAGTGCCACTGTGACCCGCCAAATCACACACTCGACTCCGAATATGGCCGTTGATGCTTCCCCTGGACCCGGCAAGGTTCTCCCCATTTCAACCCTCCTGTGGCAACGCCGTGGGCGTCTGCCCATGCCAGCCTCTCAGGGTTCTAAACCCTGGGCAGGCGCTGCCTAGGATCGTCACGATTCTCTCACTCACCCCTTGCCCCCCCCCCCCAACCGCACGCTCCCTTCTTGCCCTCTTTGCCGCGCTTCGACCGCGCGGAGGGCCCGCCAACGCTATGATTGGGCGCGATTTAAGCCTGAGGGGGCGATTCATGGGGGGGGGGGAGAATGGTACACGTCGTTCATTTCTACTCGTGTTCATTTCTAGTTGCGCTCGTTTCTAATTGTTCCTGGCCCCCTACTTGCCAGGAAGAGGACCAGGATAGAAGAATTAGAAATGGAAGGATCTTGCTCCCCCCCCCCCAAAAGAAACACACAAAACTCTCGAAGAATTAGAACCGAGCAATGTTTACCTTTCCGGGCCCTGAGGGCCACCTTTGGGACCCTAAAGGGCCCCATTAAGAGGCCCTGAAGGGCCCCTCCTCTGCAGCCCTCGCCGCCCCCCCTCTATCGCCCCCCCCCCCTTGCGCGCCCCCCAGTGTGATTCAACATGTTGTCCTCCGGGGCCCCCTCCTATATTCCCTCCTCCTCCTCCTCCTCCTGCCTCGTCGTCGTTGTGCTTCTGCCGTGCTGCTGCCCTTCCGTGCCCCACGTGTCATGCATGCAGCAACGCGTTTTCGCCCTCTAACACAATGCTGCCGCGAAAATCTCAATACGTACGTGGATCACTACCAGGTGCCGACTCTTCGTGTATGATTATGTTATGTATATGATTGTCCAGGATGGCTGGACGGCAATCATGTGTGTTATTCGTGCACTGGATTGCTGCATGCGTGTATGATCAATGTAGGCCGCTGCCGTGATCTACTCGTGCCAGTCAAGTATGTGTGGTCGAGGTGTGAATGTATGGTGTACTGATGTAGATTAGTTACTCATGGGACTGATGCGTGCGACTATTGCTGGAATGTTGGGGGCACGTGCTATTGGAGGAGTCGAAACACGTAGCGCATTGTCGATTGCTGCTAGGGACTGT